GCGATATCTTCAGCTCACGTGCCATTTTCGACCACTGCGACGCGGGTTTCGATCAAGTCGCTTCTTTACTTTTCGAACCATTTCTGCTGATGTTGTTGTTTTCTTCCGTCCACTTCATTGACATCGGGCTACGCTACCGGGCGATGGTACGAGACACGAGCTATGGTACGAGACACAAAAGATTTATTCACATTTAAATGCTGGAGTGCTCTAACGATAGCCATGGTTTTAATGGTTCAATTATTTTCCAGCCAAATATAAAGAAATCACACTATCACGCTTGAATTCCATCACGAATAACTTTTTTTCTGGAAAATTCCCACCAAAATTTTTTGTACGCTTGTAAAAAATATAATGAGCTGATTGCAGTTTTTTCATTTCACCCTGTATATTATATCTTTAAAGAGTCTTTCATAGTCGTCTACAATTAAAATACTCTTCAATGGGTAGAAGAGCCTTCATGGGTCTTCAGTAGAAAGACATTTCTTTATGGTTATTTTATATATAGAAGACACTTCATAGGCTTCTACGATTAGAAGAGTATTTATTTATAGATAAAAGACTTTCAATATGTCTCATTATAGAAGACCTTTCTTCGATGTTTAAGAGACCTCTCTCAGATTTAAAAGGCTCCTCCTAGGTTTTCTATAGATTGAGGAAATTTCAAAGGCTTCTTTCATAATACAAAGGCCTACAAAGCCTTTATACTGATAGAAAATATTTCCGATAGAATTCACAGAAATAAACCCTTCGTCAGTGTTTTATGGACAGAACACTCTTAATTTTTCTCCTTCTTATGAAAGTCATTTCCTATAACTTTTACGGAGGGAAGATCTATAACAGGTCTTCCATGGTCAAGGGTCCTTAACTCATAAAAGATTTTTCCGCTCCCCTATGACAGTTCATCATAGGTCTACACAAAACCCTTTAAAGGACTTCCATGGATAAATGTATAGAATGCACCATATGCCTTTAGTAATTAAAAGGTCGTCTAGGTCTTAATAGGTCTTCTAGGTACATAACATCTTTCGTAGGTTCCCAATATACAAAAAATATATTAGACGACAACACATCTTGAGAATAATATTATGAAAATAGTTTGTCTTATTAAAAGGGATTGAGAAAAACTTATGGAGAAAAAACTTTTGTTTAAAAACTGAAAAATCGCGCGAATTTAGGATTGAGTTTCCGGATTTAGTACTAAAGGTAAGGATGAATTTTTCGTAAAGATTATTATTCAATCAATTTCATTTCAATTTCAGGAAACAGGAACCTCCATGGACAATTTTATACATCATGGATTGTCATCTATCAAATCTTCTAAAATACCAAATTTTAAACAATTATGTGGGCAAATGTGACTAGGATTATTAAAATACCGAATATCGATGGGTATCGTTATACGTGATATAGGGAAACGTGGAACGTTATATGTGTGGTGTAGAAAAACGTAAAACTAAATTTTCAATGTTCTGCCACAGGACTAGAAACCATTATGAACGTCAAATACCAATTGTTAGACAAATCCGTGGAAAAATGTGGCAAAAATAATGAAAATATCGAATATCGTAAGTTACCGTCATATGGGGCTATACCAAATACAATATTTTGTCACACGAGCTATAAACCATTATGACCTAAAAAAAAAAAAAACAAGTAAAAAAGCTGTAAGTTCGGCCGGGTCGAACTTTTAATACCCTCCATCATTAGGTACAAATTTGGCAATTTCCAAAATAAATAAATAAATAAATAAAATCCGTAAAAATTCTGTTAAAATCTTAAAAATACCGAATGCCTATACGACGACGTAGACCTGCTTAGGCATCTTTTGTCATAAATTATTACAATATTTAAATGCGAAACTTGAAGAAAAATATTTTTATAATGTAGCTAAAATCATCAAAATACCGAATATAGGGGGTACCGTTATATGGGGGCTATAAGAAGACGTGGACCTGCACAGGCAATTATCTGGCATGGGCTGAAGTATCCATTACGAACTTCAAATACCAAATTTGGAACGATTCCGGTAAAATAATTTCGCTAAAATCATCAAAATACCGAATATCGGGGGTACCGTTATATGGGGGCTATATGAAGACGTGGACCTACATGGCTCATTTTTTGACTTAGGATGTAGAATCCATTACGAACTTCAAATACCAAATTTTAAACGATTCCGATAAATAATGTCGCTAAAATCATCAAAATACCGAATATCGGGGGTACCGTTAGATGGGGGCTATATGAAGACGTGGATCTGCACGGATAATTTTCTGTCTTAGGCTGTAGTATCCATTATGAACTTCAAATGCCAAATTTGAAACGATTCCGGTGAATAATGTCGCTAAAATCATCAAAATACCGAATATCGGGAAGTACCGTTATATGGGGGCTATATGATAACTTGGACCTACATGGCCCATTTACGAACTTAACCTGCCTACTGGCAAAATATACATGTGTGCAAAATTTTAGCCTTCTGTCTCAACTTGTTCGAAAGATAGCGTGATTACAACAGACAGACGGCCAGACAGACAGACAGACGGACATGGCTAAATCGTCTTAGAATTTTACGCAGATCAAGAATATATATACTTTGTTGGGTCTGACATGAGTATATCGAGGAGTTACAAACGGAATGACAAAATTAATTAATTAAGTATGGTGGAGAGTATAAAAATTATCAAAATACCGAATATCGGGAGGTACCGTTATATGGGGGGCTATACCAAAACATGGACCTATGCATACAATGATTCGCCTCACAAGCTAGAACCTATTATGATCTACAGAGGCCAATTTTTATACAAATCCGTGAACAAATGTGGCAAAAATCATCAAAACACCGAATATAAGACACCGTTATATAAGTGCTATACAAAATCGTGGACCTATACATAAAATACATTTCGCCGTCGGAGCTAAAACCCATTATGACCTACAAATACCAATTTTCAGACAAATTCGTGATAAAATGTGACAAAAACTTTCAAAATACCGAATATCGAGAGGTACCGTTATATGGGGGCTATACTAAATCGAGAACCTATACATGCAATGTTTCGCCACCGGTTCTAAAACCCATTATGATCAACAATTACCAATTTATAGACAAATCCGTGAAAAAATGTGCCAAAAATAATCAAAATACCGAAGATGGGGAGGTACTGTACCAGGACCCATTATGACCTACAAATACCGATTTTCAGACAAATTCGTGAAAAAAATACCGAATATGACGAATATTTAGGGATGTTACAAACGCAATGACAAAGTTAATATAACCTCCTTTCCAAGGTAAAGGGTATACAAATATGCTTAAAATATTATTACTGTTGTAAGTTTACTCTACAATAACCAGTATAAACTTATAAATAAGAGTTTCATTTCGATTATTCTATACTTGCTACACAAGTATTATTTTTTCAAGATTTAAGTCCTTCGTTGGTCAGTTATGGATGAGTATATAGAATACCCTTCAAAGTTCTTCTTCAGATGGGACATTTTTCACATATATCTTCTAAGAGTATTTTTGTTAGGTATTCTATGGATTGAGTATTTCATGACCAAAGGTCCTTCATAAGAACTTCATGATGGCCTTCAAACATATTCTATGAATCGAAGACGCTTCATAGATAATTACTCCGCTAAAGTCAAATCGAACGCTATCTCTTTCACATTTAAATAATTTTCTACAATTTCCATTTCTCCCAATCGCCCTGCCAATCGAGATCAAATTCATATTGTTAACCCTTTTATCACTCATGGATGGATATTTCCCAAATACGATATCTCGCACTCTCGATTGTGTTTATTAGGAGCATTATTGTTGTCAATACAAACAAACAATGTCCAGATATCACCGTAAAAAGCAAACACACTGCCAAATGATGAAGAGGAGTACCAGCCAATGTAGAGGTGTTCGAACAAATAAATAGACATGCATGCATACATACAGACAAATGCGAATGGAACAATAAAATAAAACTAACAACAATATGCTACCAACACTAGCTGACACTTTGGTTTAAGTACACATCAACAACAACAACAACAGCAGCAGCACGGACATGGAGCTACAACAAATCGTGGTAGGGAAACAAAAACAATAACAATGACAGCTACAACAACAACAGCAACAACTACAATGGCAAGTACACCACTAGAAACACTTAAAGCAAATATGGAAAAATTGCTATCTCTGGCAACGTCGATATCGCCGATAAAGGTGCCCAAAACAGCGATTGGAGGGAGCCCCGGCCGTGGAGAGCGCAATCGAGTGCGCGTAATATATGATTTGGTGTTCACATTTTTAATACCTTTTTGACTTTAATAACTGATTGCAGGCTTTTAAAGTGAATTTTTGTTGCGCCCACTTTAGACGTGTGCGGAGAAATAGCGCGCTCCAGCAAAATAAACGGAAAAAACCGGGAACGGATCGAAACAAACGCCGGACGCTAATGTGTGTCAAAGTTAACCTAGAAAATTAGATGTCTAAATGATAGCGCTGGATCGCAAATAGAGGATTTTCAGATTATCATTTTCATTTTACCCCAATGAAAGGGTCTGGAGTACCAGCCGGAATTGTTAATACAATTAAGTCGCCGGTGACAAAACTCTTGTGGTGACAAATTTATTGGAGTTATTGAGAAATTTTATGACAGGTACTCTAGAAGCCACTACAGTGCCGCCGTGGTGGTAGAGCTTCTTCAAAGTTTATGTTCTTGTGCGTGAATGGTCTCATCGTCATAACAGCTGTCGATCAAGTCAAGCAGTTATATTATTTCTTTAAATAAACGAAATCACAACAACAGCAACAGCAACGGAATTAATTTAATTAACCAATTAGAGGATTAAAAACCCATTGCGAAAACGTAATCCCAGACGGGCGACCAAAGTGACGAGAATAAAATTGCCAGAAAAATAAATAAAAATAATAATTATTGCAAAAAAAAAAAAAAAATAATAATAATAATTAAAATAATATTAAAAGCAAATTGTGCCAAGTTTATTAAACAAATTGGAAAATAATTAGAAATCCATTAAATAAAATACAAAATAGTTTGAAGGCAATTTTCTGTGCAATTAAACACATCTTCCTTTCCAAATTTATTTTTTTTTCGTAACACCCAACAAAATTAACACCATTCAGTTCACTGATATGACGAATTATAATCCAAATAGCGGTTATTATGAGGATTATGGTTCCGGTTACTATGCGGCGGCATCGGCAAGCGGTGGCCCAGCCGTAACAACGCTGAACAACACTAACCTCTACCATCAGCAGCAACAGCATCAGCACCACCAACCGGAGCATGAGCAATTTCATCACCACCACAACCATCATCCGCAGGATTATTATATGCCACAGGATTATGAATACAATAAGAATGTTTATGAGTAAGTATGGGGATAATACGTAACAAGGAGCCTTAGGGCCACAATTGTATAATGTAGAATAAAAGGAAAAGGGTTATATTTTCATATTTTTGGTTGTTGTAAAATTATTTTTATTGGATAACAAAAAAAATCACACATTGCAATGACATTGGTATTGAAAAAAAAATGAATGCATTGGAATTGAAAACAATTGTGGTCATGTAAACCCTTTTGGGGTACAATTGAAGGATGAAAGGATTACAAACGTGTTTACATCAATAAATTGCATTGGAATTATAATTCGGTACTAGGTAAACCATAACATTTGTAAAAAAAATAGCCATAATACATATTTTTTTATTTTTTAAATTATTGTCATCAAGACCGACGGAATTAATTATTATTATACCCTCAGCCATATGGCTAGAGAGGGTAACAGGGTTGCCCATATTCAGCGGACCCATGACCCATTCCAATCGACGAGGCTTGTCCGCAGGCAACATTCTTTGCGTCAATTGCATTTTGTACGGGAACAAATGCACAGCAATGCGAATAATCCGTTGTAAAGTGGACCGAGCCATGCCCAACTGCTGAGAACGGCGTTTTTGGGATGTTCTTGGGGACCTCTCAACACTGGCTCGCACGGCAGCGATATTCTCGGCCGATCGCCTTGGTCGACTTTTATATGGCCTCTTCGGATTAGAAAGAGCCTTACCAGTCGAAAATTTTTCGTAGAAACGCTTAATGGTGTTCTTAGAAGGCGCACTTCTCACATTTTTTAATGTTTTAAAAGCACGTTGAGTTTTCACAATTCACTTCTTCTGTTGAATGTAAATTTCAACTATTTTAGAGCGCTCGCGTAGCGTGTATTGGTTCATGGTAAAAATCTGCTTGGACTGACGCGGTATGTCATTGAGCGATGTGACATCTCTGTCAAAAGTTATGGCGTTGCCAGATGGGTCCGTCGAATATGGGAAACCCTGTATATCAGTTGATACGGCCAAAACGTGACTCATCTAAATAACGGGTGTAGACCCTAGGTCTCTTTGGACCAAATCCGTTTCAGGACATTTGGAGTCGATCTAGCGATGTCCGTCCTTCCGTCCGTCTGCCTGTCTGCTTGTCTGGCTGGCAGGTGGACACGATAACTCTCGATGGGAGTCTCCGTTTTGGTCCAACCTTGGTACATCGTAATATTATTACCAAACTTAGATCGTGTCCGGAGATGGGCAATGTAGGTTCATTTCTTCTGGTACCTTCCCCACAAAAGGTCGAAATTTTCAAAAAAAAAAAATATTTTTACTGCACAAAAAGAAAAAGAATAATCCGATTTTGCTACAACTTTGCAAATCCTAACATTTGCATCTGTTCTATGTCAGGTGAGAAAATGAACAGTATCGGTCGACTCCATCAAGTACCTCCCCCACAAAAGGTCAATGTTTTGAATAATAATATCTCTCATAAAATGTGAAATAAAAGTCGAAGTCTTCGAATTACACACGTGACAAGAAGAAGGAATATATCGGTTCACTCCTGCTGGTACCTCACCACAAACCATTCAGACATGGCACATCTCAATATTTCTATCAATGCAAGATTTTTTATAAAGTTGGTAGATATTGGTCCATTCGTTTTTGGTACCTAACAAAGGGTCAAAGTTTTGACTAACGATCATTAAATTTGATAAAAGCATCAGTGTTTCTTTATATTTCACACATCCCAGCACAAGATCTGCTGTGAATACGGAATATAAAGGTCTACTCTTTCTAATACCTCCCCCACAAAAGGGTCAACAATTTTGAATATCCATGAAGCTCATAAAGCCATTCATACCTGGCACTTCTCCATATTTATATCAATACAAGGCACGCTATAAATATGGTAGAGAAATGACGATTCCTTCAGGTACCTCCCCCACAAAGGGTCAAAGTTTTAAATAACCAAAGCGATTATAAAATCCGAAATAAGCATCCGGTTCTCTTCATATTTCACACATCACAATATTTTTATTAACCCAAGGTCTGCTGTGAAGATGGAATATATAGGTCAACTCCTTCTTGTACCTCCCCCACAAAGGTTCAAAATATTGAATATCTATAAAACGCGAAATTTACATTCGATTCCATTCAGACATATTTCTATCAATACAAGACATGTTATAAAGATGGTAGAGATCGGACCATTCTATCTGATACGGCCCTCAAAGGATCAGAGTTTTAATAACCAAAACGATTATAAAATCGGAAATAAGCATCCGGTTCTCTTCATATTTCACACATCCCATTATTTCTACTAACACAAGATCTGATGTGAAGGTGGAATGTATCGGTCCACTCCTTCTAGTACCTACAAAAGCGTCAAAATTTTCAATATCCACGAAGCTCATAATACGCGAAATTAAAATCCGATTCCATTCTGACTTGGTACATCTCAATATTTCCATCAACACAAGATCTGTTAGAAAGATGTAGAGATTGAACCATTTCTTCTGGTACCTCCCCCACATAGGGTTCAAGATTTTGAAAAACAAAACGCTCAAAAAAAAGTGAAATAAGCATCCAACTCTCTTCAAATTTCACACACACAAACATTTTTGCTAAAACAAGATCCGTTGTGAAAATGATATATATATATATCTGCGAACCCCTTCTGGTATCTCAACCACAAAAGGGTCACAATTATCAATACTTTTATATGTCATAACTTGCGAAACAATTCAGCGATTCTTTACAACTTGCTATATCTAAATATTTCTCCCAATCAGAAACCTGCGATGAATATGGAATTTATGATTTCGCATTAAATTGAATATAAATATTCGATTTTCTTGAAATTTTAATAATTTTTCGGTCGACTTTATCTGGCACCTCTCGCACATTTTATCATTTTCTAAAAATTATCGTATATTTCATATAAAGTGAAGGAAATAAACAATAAAGTCCACACCTCTCACGACCCAATATTTATAACATATTTATTTATGTCCGATACGAAATGGACAATATTGGCCCTTTCCTTCGGAACTTACTCCATAGAGGGTCAACAATTTGAATAATCAAAACAGAAGTCAAAATACATTTAAAAAATCGAACATTGGCTGAGGATATACATCTGTCGGCTAAGCCGACTGATACCTTTTATTATTTTTTTTTTTAATTGATTTTTAAATTATTTCTGCTAAATTCCGTCGGTATTCAAGAAGCTAAATTGTACAATGTAAATGCTATCCCTCGTAACTTTTAGAAGGGTCTCAAATTAAAGAATGCATAGAACACCCTTCGTAGATCTTCCGTAATCCAACAACCTTTTGTATGTCCCCTGGGGATTGAGGACCTTCTTTGGTCGTTTATTGATGGAGTATATAGAATAGCCTCCAAAGTTTTTCTTCAGATGGAAATTATTTCACAGGTCTTTTGAAGATACGAGTAGAGGCTTTTCAAATTTCTTATAGGGAAAGAGGATCCTTAATGAGTCTTTGATGACAAAGGGCCCTCCATAAGAACTCCACGATGGCTTTATAACAGGGCTAGGCAGAGAAATTCAAAATTATTTTGTGATTGTATTTGTTTTGAAATAAAAAATAATTCAAGTATTTCTTTGCCTCTCTCTACACAGTGAGAAATATTTTGTTAGTGTTTTTTTAATTTTTATATTTATTTTCATATTCGTTGAAAAAAAGCCTTCGAGACGTGGACTTTTCAAAAAAAATATTTTTTGAAGAGCCTTCGAGATGTGGACTTTTTTAAGAGTATTTTTGGAAGAGCATGGATTTTTTAAGTTCGAGACGAGAAGTTTTAAAGGATATTTTTTGAATAGCCCTCAAGACGTGGTTTTAAAGGATATTGTTTGAAGAGTTTCAAGGCGTGGACTTTTTAAAGAATATTTTTTGAAGAGCTTCGAGACGTGAACTCTTTAAAGAATATTTTTCGAAGAGTCTTCGAAAACTTTTGTTCATAGAAATTCATATTTTGACTAAAAATAATCGCTCTTATATTTATACAATTAAATAAACTATGAATTATTTTGGAAGAGAATAAATACTACGAACGACTATTCACTATTGAACTGAAAATATTTTTTTATGAGCAAATCACACAAATAGTATATAACCATCTTTGTCATGCCTTTTTCTGAAATCAAAATTATATTTATGTACCCCAATATTTCTAACGGAGTACTCATAAAAATATCCGACAGCACTTCATGATCGAGTGCTCGAATAAAACTAAATATTTCACCAAAACCATTTTGACAGAAAATTCAAAACAATTTATTTTTTACAATTGTGGGATACTCTGTGCCTACCTCCGCTTTAAAACGTATTCTATGTATCGGGATCATTCATCGATGACTATGCTTTACTATATTCGAAATAACGGTATCTGTCTTTCTCTGCTGTAACTTTTAGAAGAAGGGTCTCGGATAAACATTTATGCCTCGTGAATCAAACTTTTGTATAAAAGATTTACTCAGTAGCTCACTCATCTCTGAAGGTAAGGGTAGAATTTTTCCATTTTGTTCCAAACTTTAGTGAAATTTTAATTTCCCAATCTCTGGCACTACAATAGAGATGATTTTAAAAAATCACACTGCAGCAATACATCGCATTCAGCAGTTCCACGTCGGTCTGTCACTCGTCATTCCTTGGCCTTAAAACTGTTGCAACAACGCAATAGCCCAATGAAAGGATTACAGATGTGTTTACATCAATCATTTAAGAATTATAATGCGGCATAATTCGATTTCTTATTTTTTTCTCCCTTTTTTATACCCTCCACCAAAAAAGGTATGGAGGGTATATTAACTTTGTCATTCCGTTTGTAACTCATCGAAATAATCATTTTAGACCCAACAAAGTATATATATTCTTGATCAGCGTAAAATTCTAAGACGATTTAGCCCTGTCCGTCCGTCTGTCCATCTGTCCGTCTGTCCGTCTGTTGTAATCACGCTACAGTCTAAACGAATTAAGATAGGAAGCTAAAATTTTGCACAGATCTCTCTTTTGTCTGCAGGCAGGT